AATGTGTATAGGGATTGGACGTGTTGGGGGGGGTACCCCTCGGTCTCCTTTCTTGCTGGGTATACAAATACGGTCTATCGAATATTACATGCTGCGCGCGCCGATTTCTATTGCGCCCTCTCGTGACTTCATTTGACGAATCGACGGCTCGTTCTTCCGTCTTGGGACTCTCATACAACCGAGGGAAACTAAAGAAAAAGTTGAACAGTTTGTTAGAGATTTAATTCCCAAGACGGTATAACGGAGCCGTCGATTGGTGAAATTCATTCACGAAAGGGTGCAAAGGAAATCGGCACGAGCGGCATATTTTTATGCTCGATCGAGTCCGCTTTCGAGTTCTGCCGTCTTAGCCCATGTCACAGGCTTTGTTCCCAAAACCAATCCCCGATTGCGGGCCTGACGCGTTTAAATTTAATTTAATTACTGTAATTTCCGATCTCTTGCATCTTATTTGATGTTTTGTGGCACTATTAGACTAATTACTGCACTTACAGCTTCAACGTCAGCTAGTTAAAAAAAACAGTTGAAGCCTGAGACGGAGCCGAAGTTGAGTATTGGAAAATGGCCTAGACTAGGCGCGCCTGCCTATGAGGTAAGTGCCCCAAATCACGCCCTGTTTTGTTCCACTCGGAGAGGATTGCGCACGTTGCCTACATGGGATGGAATACACGCTGCCGTGCATAGCGATATCATCAGCAAGGGGTGCTACACGTAGTCTACGTACGTTTGGTTAGCAAATACATGTAGTTTTCTGAAAGATAAATTTTGTGATATTTTCGAGGCAAAGTGTACGCGAATTGTTGAGTGTGAGACTGAGATTGGTGACTGAATTTAGTCTTCAAATGTCGCCGTTTGAGCCACCCGGGCCGAGTTCGGGCGGCTTGTTCCCGTATGTTCACGAAGAGCTCGATTTGTTGTTCGTGGTTCGGCCGCTCGAACGCCTAGAACAAACAACCGGTTATCGCTGGTAGTTCGTGACAAGCAACATGCAACATTGCAGCGTCCATGTAGGCTACGTTATTCGAGAGTTAATGTTTGGATGGGCTGAATTCTTTTCTGTATAAACAGGAACATTCATTTCTGTGTACAATAATTAATGTTAATTATGCAAAAATTCTCATTGTCTATGGCTTTGAAAGCCATCTCTCTACTTTTTGCAGCTGTTCAAAAATCAAAATCTCACGAGTTTTTCCGTGTGTTCCTGTAAAACCCTGACAATGAGGTGGTGTGTGATCCTGTTCCGAGAACAGGATCTTGAGTCGTGTTCCCGCCGTTCAAGTGCGAGAACAAGAACCTCGTCTCAAGAACAGGCCGCCCGAACTCGACCCTAGAGTATAAGCTACAGGGAAGTTTTTCACTGAGCGTGAGAACCAAAGTAAGCCGTAGCTTATCGAAAATTACGTGACGATGCACTGTCATATTTTTTTAAATAAAGTTCGTTCCTTAGTAGCGATATTTTCCATAAATTCTTCAATATCGATGTTTTCGAAGTTTTGGTATTTCTCCGAAATCCGATATTTTTGATATATCAATATTACCAAACAACTAACATCGGCGATATCGATTTCAAAGCTTGGATATACACCACTATTAAAAGAAAAGAGTGCGAGACGGAAAAATGCAGCCCACCGATTCAGATGCTTGGCGAAGGCAGAAAGTCTTTCGTGCAGTGTCTTGGTCTTTGAATCAAGAGATTGCTTGACACATCTGAGCATGTCTTTGACTTCTGATAAAATTTGCGGGTCTGAAAATATGTATTTGTTTGAGTCAATTTTGAAGGCTTCGTTTATGATATCTATACGAGCCACTGAAGGTGCGATTTCTAAGTTTTATATGTTCCACACTATTTGCAGCATGAATAGACTAGGGCAGTGAGGGATCGACTGGGAAAGAAGAGGGTGACTGGAAAAGCTCACTCACTGCGGCCTAAGTCACAGATTTTAGTGACACAGGTTCCTCTCGTCAACTGATTGATTCAAAGGAAATAAAAAAAGTCTCTGAGTGTGATTTGGGAACAGGCATGCAGACTTCTACGCCCCGATGATGGATACCAAGATCAATTATCAAGGGGAAAAAACGAAGTTGACCTTAATAGTGGAAAAGAGCTTAGGAACTCGATTGTATTAGGCGCTTGAAAAATGCATTTATGATGTCATGTGCCAACTTTGAGCGGGACCGCAAGACGATAGTCGGAGACACGCCGAGTTCCCCCACTGGTCTCAAGCTTATTAGCGCTGGTTGGACATCCGGGAACTTCATTGCATCTGTCGTGATGTGGACTGCGAGAACCTAACGCCTTTGGGTGCATGTGCTCTTACAGGCTTGGGCTTATTCGGATTAGGTTTCCAGCTGGTGAGTTGCACTGACCGAATTTTCAGTTCTCGTTCGATCTGAACAATGACGTCACACAGGGCCACAGGCATAACTGAAGTCCCCATAACGCTTAACTAAAGACCACAGCGGAAACATGTTCATGGTTAGGTTCACCAACACAACCCCGGTTGGTACGTGTATGGCTAAACCGGAACCAAGTCGGACTTTCGTTGCTCTTCCCCAGTCGGCCATCCCTTCACATAACATACAGTACATGTACATGTACATGGTCGGCTAGCTCGGCCGCTCGCACGACATCTTGTAAGGCGCCCTCATTTGATAGCTTTCTAAGTTATCCAGCGTCAACGTCAAAGACTGTACAACGTGTGTCCCCACCAATTAATAAGTCCGGCTTGACAGAAAAAGCAATCAGACTATCGTCGGTGATATGTAGTTATTCATAATTGCACATGAACGACATGGTCTTGCCTAATGTATACGGAATTTCCAACTATAAATGTAGTTAGACTTGGTACTTCCACCGATCGAAGTAGTCAGACTTGTGGACTCGTTATTATTATAGAGGTATGAACGATGTATAAACAAATCCATCAATTTGATTGGCTA